GGCGCGCCGTCCGGGGCGTGGTCAGGGGCCCGGGCGCGGAGGGGCCGGGGCCTGCGGACACTCGGGCCCGTGGGGTCCAGTTAGGGGGGGCCCTGAAGTCCCGTCGGGCCCTGACGTCCTAGGGCTGGCAGCCGTGCTGGGCCGAGCACGTGGTCAGCGTCGTCTCCTTGCCCGGGGTCATTCCTACCCGTCTGTGGTCAGGAGACTGAGGGTCAGGGGCAGGGGCCTGGCCGCAGGCGCCTGCTGACCTGTCCTCGTGGTCCTCCCTCCTGCAGACCTCCCAGCGGCAGCAGGGTGGGAGCTGGGCCTTCCAGAAAGGCCTTTCCAAAGCCTAAGGAGTGGGCGGGGGCGGTAACCTCGCCGGCTGTGTGGAGGACACTCCCTGGGCCTGGGCCTCCGGGTGGCCCCGGCTGTCAGGGACGCAGGGAGACCGGCCCCCTCTCCCGCCTCCCTCCAGGGTAGCTGTGTCCACACCGAGCTTGCGCTCCTCGTAGCCCCGGGTGTCCCTTGTCCTGCGTGGGAGGTTCTGCCCCTCCTGACCTAGGACCGGGCCCAGCTCTTGACCCCCCGCCTGCCTGGCGGCTTCTCCCCACGCACAGAGGCAGTAACGAAACATCAATTTGAACCATCAGGAAACCGTGAGAACGGCCATCACCTCCACCCAGGCTTCTGTGCTGCGTCTCGGCGCCCTGGGACCTGGGAGCCCGAGGGGCCACCCCCTTTCCAGTGAAGCAGGCCCTGGGCCCCTCGAGTGGCAGCCCCGTGACTGGCATGACCACAGTCCAGACCTGAAGCCCTGGGCTGCCGGGGGGCTCGAGGCCCATCCAACCCCGTGACAAGTGCCAAAGGCCACAGGGACACGAGGAGGCGTGGACTCCCGGCCCGGCACAACTGTTTCCTCAGACTGCGAACGGAGCCAAAACCGTGCGCTGGCCTCACTGGGACAGCACCCAGCACCAGCTGGAGGGAACCGCCAGGCCCGGCTCGCCAGGCGTGGGGACGCCGGGCAGAGCCTGAGGACCGAGGACGGCCGCCGTGTGGGTGTCCCCCTGTGGTCCAGGCCCTGGGGCAGCAGCAGGACGGCCCTTTGCAAAGGCACCTGGTCTTAGAGCAGATGCCTCCCCCGTGGGACAGGCGTCAGTACTTCATACGTCGTGCGGAACTGGAAGGCGAAGACCTGGCTCGGTTTCGCGTTTGTACCGTTGATGCTGGGAGACCACGGAACCATCTCTTGCTGTTTTTACGTAAGGAAGAGGGCACCGTCGCACTTGAACCTGCGGGCGTGGGAGCAGCTGGCGTCCCGCACAGCAGAGGCAGGGGTGTGTTGGGAGAGAAGCTGGAGCTAAGCCGTAGACAGAGCTGCCTCTGCGGCTTCCACCGCTGAGCGAGGAGCCTCGGGCGTTTCTCGCGCAGCCGAATCCACAGCACGTCTGCGTTTCAGGAGGTGGCCCTCAGCTCCCATCTGCCTCGACAGTTGTGGGTCCGAGCCGGGGCGATCCGAGACTGGGCAGGACTCGGGAGCCCTGCTGAGGTCACTGTGGAAAGCAGGTGTCACACGGCCGAGATTTCCACGCTGGGCCTCCCTGGCCCCCTTCCCTGGCCCCCTTCCCAGGGCCTGGCTCTGCAGGTGGGGGACTCTGTCGTCCCCCTGCTCCCGGTCTCTGTGGTATTTTAATGTTCGCTCCTTCCCGACTGAGACGGAGGTATGAGGTCTCCCAGGATGTCACACTCCTTCCTGCCAATTTTCTAGCTCTTTCAGACTCCGAGGATCTCGGGGCGGGCTGGGGTCCCACCCCCAGGGTCTAACCAATTACTTCATTTTGCTTCAAATGGCCAATTGTGCAGAGGGACAAAGCCACAGCCACCCTCTCAATGGTTACCAAGCTGTTTTTTGGAAACTCACACCAAGGGCCGGCTGCAACTGTCCCATTGTGGGCAGTTGGCACAGCGTGGCCAGAGGGGTTGTGGAACGAGGCCCAGGCTTACTCAGACACGTTTTATTTCAGTGTTTTCTTTGTTCTTCAAATCAGGTGCCCAAATAAATTATCAGCACAGCTGCTCCCAAATATGAGAAACCATAAATTGGGATGAAAATCTAAGTACAGTGCAAAGGTTTCCACCCTGTATCCTTCTGATAAAATGTGAGCATTGCTACTGACCGCGTGAGGGGAAACCCGTGTCTGACGCTGGTCTAGGACCTCGGGATACAGAAATGAAATGAGATCCGAGCCCTGGAGCCCGAATGAATTATAAATGTGCCTTAGCGGGTGAGTGGCCTTCTGAAAATGCAAAACGGCAGGACCTTCTGTGTTTACCGCCGTCGGGTCGCGTTCTAAGTAAAGAAAGGTTTCAATATTTTTGAGTCAGATGACTGCTTACTGTCCTGCAACTGGGTTGTGCCCCTTGAGGTGTAGTTTTTAATTTGATCAGCACCGTTACCAAAAAAACAGTTGTCATTTTTTCAAAAACAGGAAAAATGTAAACCTATTTTTGTGACTTAAGACTTTATGGCAGAGATTAGACACTGGAGGTTTTGTTGTTTTTTTAAGCAAATGTATATTTATTAATGTTCAGAACACTGGAATTGCAACTCAAATGAGAAAAGAGTCTACAATAAATTAAGATTTTTTTGTTTGTACTCCTGCTGTGCTGGTTTCCCCTCCCCCACGCCCTCCGTTTCTAAGGCAGCCGTGGACAGGACCATGTGGTAGGGGGTGCTGGTGACAGGCGTTGGGGCACAGGAGCTGGGCTGGAACTTTGTTTACGCTCCTCCTGGGGTTTCCTGCGATCTTTAACTTTATATCTTTCACCCAACTGGGGAAAGTTTCAGCCGGCATTGTACTTTCCCCACTTTCTCTCTCTCCTGCCCTCTGGGACTCGGGTGTTGTCCCTGAGGCTCCATTGGTCTGATTTCGTTATGTTCTGTTCTTCAGATTCGACTGGTTCTAGTAATGGATCTACAAGTTCACGAACTCTTTCCTCTGTCGTCTCCATTCTGTTGAGTCCATCCAGAGAATTTTATTTCAAATATTGTGGTTTTAAGCCCTAAAATCTCCACTCAGCTCCTCTTATCACTCTCTCCCTGCTGTGGACTTCCAGTTCCCCGCGCATTTCTGGAGTGTTTGCTCTACTCTGTGGGGCATGGTGGTAACGGCTGCTTTAACACCTGATTCTAAACACCTGGTCATCCTGGGCTGAAACCTGTTTGTTGTCTTTTCTCTGGGCATGTCCCTGGCTCTTTGTACCCTCATTGATTTCAGAGTGATTCCTTGATGGATATTTTGAATGTCTGAGACTCTGTCCTGTTAAAAACAGTCATTTTTCGCCTGTTTCAGTAGGAAGCCACCAGTTGGGTTCAGACAAGTTCTGTCTCGGCTCCTGCGAGCCGTGGTTCCAGCGTTGGCTCAGTGTCCAGGGCCGTGGGCCTCTGCTCTGCTGCCCTGGGTCTGCCCTTTGTGTTTGCCACTTGGTCTGGGAAGTGGGTGGTAGTTTATGTCAATGGTTCTGCTCTCAGAGCCTTTGCTCTGCCCCCACCTATTGGGTGAGCCAGCACCTGCGTTGGTGTACACGGAAAATGAGGGTTCCCCTCTCCAGCTCTCTCCTCTCTGGGGTTTTCCTCACATGCTCTCACTCCTGGGGCCCCTCTTCTTGGTCCCTCTGTCCAAAACGATGGGTCTCCCCCAGGGTTCCAGCCACCTGCTCTGTCTCACAGTCCTACCCAGCTGGGGCCCCACTCAGGGAAAATTAGTGGGAACAAAGAGAAAAAAACGGGATCCCCCAGTCTTGGGCCTACAGCGCCCCCCTTTCTGGGCCTCTCTCGGAGGCCTAGCCCTGCTGCTAGCCACATAGCTCCAGAGATTGGCGCCACCCTTGAGGCAGATCTGGGAGGGAAAAAAGGAAAACCACCCACAAACCACTCACCTCCCAAAGGTGGTTGAGTTTTGCTTCCTCCCCACCCACCTGCTAATGCTCACTTGTTAGAGTGCCCAGCGGTGACCACGAGCAAATAGGTCTGTCTCAACCCGAAAGCCACGCTTCCTGGGATCCAGGACCCAGCCGGGGCCCCGGCAGAGGGAGCAGGCCTGGTCGGCAGCTGGGCGTGTCTTCCGTGGACTACCCCGCACCAGCCTCAGGTGGGGCCGCTCCGGACCCGGAGGGATCCAGACAAAAACAAGTCCCCTCCCCAACGCTGTACAAACACAAACGCTAACCCTGCGCACCATCCAGGCCACAGAAATAACCACACTCCGGCCCGGGCGTGGGAGCGTCTGCTGCCTCACCTGGCACAGCTGCGGCCCGCCCCAGGCGCCCTCCCCGCACGCACCTGGGCAGGAGCTGGGCTGAGGGGCCTGGCCTGACTGGGGGCCCAGGGCGGGGCCTTCCAGGCGAGGGGCAGGGGCGCAGGCCTAGGCCCTGTCTCTGAGAATACCCTGCAAGGGGCGGGGCGGGGCGGCACCCTCCTCCAGCAGCCCTGGACCGGGATGTCTCCCTTTCCTCCACCGTCTGCCAGCAGCCGTGGGGGGTGGCAGCCGGAGAGCTGGGGCCCCGCGGGAAAGGGCCGGGAGCTCCGTCCTGCTGTGGGTCCCGTCCCCTCCGGCCTGCCCGGGGTCTTCGGAAGGCCGCCGTGGGTAGAGCCCTGGAGTCCGAGCCCCAGGCGCTTGGGCCGGGCAGGGGAGGCCCGAGTCCCCGCCACGCTCTTGGCACCACGGCGCCCCCTGGTGGACAGCAGCTGCTAAATCTCTCCCTGAGCACTGCCCAGACGCCTTGGGGGCTAGGGTGAGGTCTGCGGTGCCCAGCGCAGAGCAGGTGGCACTGCCGGCTGAGAGGCTGCCACGGGCACCAGCCACGGGTGAGGCCTGGGTGACCTGGGGGCAGTGGCAGGCGTTAACCCCCTCCTTCCACCTTCCTCCTCTGGCTGACCTGGAAGGCTGGAGGCCTGGCGGGCTGGCGGGACGCGCAGAGCTGTCTGGGGGCTAGAAGGGTGAGCTCCCCTCAGCCACCCTTGCCTGGCAGCCCTCCCTCCTTCCAGCTCCTATCTCTGCCACTCTGAAGATCAGCCTTGCACGGAGCCTGGTGGGCACCGTGGAGGCTCCTGAGACGGGTCACAGCTCAGGCCTCCATTCCCAGGGCTGCCAGAGGAAACTTGAGCCCAGGGAGGCTGTGTTGCCCTTGGGCTGGCGGGACTAAGGCAGCGTTTCAGCCCTGCCTCCATGCTGGTGGATGGTCCCCAGGGACCAGAGGGCCACGGCTAGCCTGTCTGATCCCAACTGCCCGGCACATTGTGGACAGTGGATGCTAAGCTGTGGTCTGCGCCCTGGCCAGCAGAGCAGGGCCTTGGGGTCCAGCCTGGTTGGAGCGGGCAGGCTGTCAGAGCTGGGGACAGCTGAGCCATGCCCTCCGCTGGCCCCCTGGCCAAGCCCTCTGCCTCTCCAGGCTGTTTCTTCACATGGAACACGGGAATGGTCTCAGAAGTCGCGTGGCAGGCTGCTCTGCCCACCCCCCCA